GGAGCGGGGAGGATGTGACAAGTTGTGTCTGACAAGCGCGGACGAGCTCCTTAGTTGTGTCAACCATTACGTCCGATCTCATCTCCAGTCTTCTTGACTCTGTCTTGACACCAGGCCCAGGACAGTTAGGGAGGAGAGAGTGTGACAGATGCTGTGCAAGCCCACTATCACTTTGAACTGATCCACCCGCAAGACAGCGTCCTTTTGCCCACCTTGCTGTAGGGCACACGGTAGATATCGGGAGTAACGACGATCTAAACATCATGATGTAATGAGGCATTTGGTGGTTTCCGGCGTGCTCTTGACGTACGGCAGCGGGTGAAATAGTTGTAGGAGTATTTCTAGCCTGTTTTCTGTCTGCCGCAACTGCTGGCTGCCGATGAGGTGACACTAACTGGGCGTCAACCGGACATTAGTACAATACGTTTGTTATACACCAGCGCCATAGGTTTCCAGCCGGTGACCTCGATCACTGCTTCCGACTATGCCAACCATGTGCCTCTACAGCAGAGTAGGCTCAGGGTTGGTGACTCGAGCGTGAATTAGTTTATAGTGATAGTAGCCTTTTGTTGCATCTACCACACTCACTCTTTCCTCACCCCCCCGGACCCGACGTTAAGAGAGAATCCAGAAGACCGGAGGTTGGATCGGATGCAAGTGGCTGGCGTGGCGAGAACTTGCGTCTAGGCGTGCCACCACACCCTCTTTCCCGTGTGTGGCACTTTCTGTGGGTACGCGACCCAAAGAGGCGCACAGTACTCTGATCTGGGTCCGTGACCTTCACCACCGCCGGAATGTTCTCGCTTTGCTTCTTTTCCTGCAACTGTTTCAGATAAAAACATCCGCTTAAATACACCCCTGTTTAAAGGCCCTAAGTGGAGGTATACCGCTTCCATCCCCGGGACACGCATTCACCAAGGTGAGATGTCGAAATACGTGAAGCCTACTGAAGCATCAAAAGTCGAAGGGGAAAGTCTGGCTTTCCAATAAGATTTTTTTATTTTTCACAGTCATGCTTTCAACAACGGCGAGGGTGCAAATGTTGACTGGCGCGAGGAGCAGTTTTTCTTGCAGGAAGAGAATCTCTCTGCTGCTCGAACCTCTGAGATTTACGTGTCCGCTACCATCAGCCTAAGGACACACAGGCCTATCGGGCTAACTCTGAATAGTCTACAGAATCCGCCTCATAGGAGAGACAGTGTTGGAGAGACTAGGCAACGCTTGCAAACCTAATTGCACGATCTCCTTTTTGTTGACAGTACGAATCGTCTCGACAGAAGTACCACACAAACTGGACGACCCAATCAGGATGCTTGCCTTCAGAACGTTGAATCAGCCAGTCGTCATATTTACCATCCCAATCGAAGCATCGTGCATCCTTTCCTGCACCAAGTTGATCAGGCTTCAGAACGTGTGAAGAGGGCAACATTCAAGACGCCGCCGCCACATCCATAAATACTCGACATCGCAAGGAAGGTAGGTACAGGCAGGGCCATTGAGACCACTCCTGCGCATAAGTTTTCTTCCCGTCCTGACTTGGAATGTTGGGTATGGTTTGGGCCAAATAAGGGCTAATTCGGATCATCGTCAGTCTGCAATGGCTGCATCTTAATTTGAAGTTGACAAACTTCACTTCCGCCTGATATGCCTTTAATTATGTCTATTCATGTGTGGTAGGGATAAGAGTGTGCGCAGTATGCGTAGGTAGGTGTTTTACGCCACCTTAGGCCACTACTATCTCCAGTTTTCGTAAGGGGGTGGTTATATCCTGGTTAATAGAAGGCGACACATCCCGCATTCATCGATGGTGCTGAGTCCCACATCAACTGCTGTGTACCTTTTGGTCCAAACAAACGGTCATCTCCCAGCTATCTGGCTGAACAAAAGCTGTGCGGTTGATGAGCGGCTGACTTAGGGAACTGAACGTTGAATAATGGCTCCGTGACACATCCTTCAATCTCGGACGTTCCAGAGGATTCTAAATGTACCCTAACGTTTGTTAAAAGCACTTCCCCATGTTTCGACTTCTCAATTATTCCTAAGACAAAAATACTGTCCTACTGCTGAAAAACATGAAAGCTAAGAAAGAGACGCCTGACGCATTTGAGTGACTGACCACTCTACTACGGCTATGGTGAATTTCGATAAATACCTTCTGCAGGTTACACTCCATGTAACTTGGAATATTTCCAATCGCGGCCGACAGGACGCGAGTCCGTGACCCGAGCGGTGGATTATCGGACTTCACGACTGTCTTGTTTTGAATGTCCCGTTCCCCTCCTCTCTGCTGTAGGCCTGCCCACAACGGATTTGGTGTTAACAAATACTCCAGGAGGAGTCATTACTTCCCTTCATTTTTCCGGTATTTCTTCCAACCCAACGAGTCTCCCATCCGTCCGGTATCCAATATATCGGTTCTGATTTCCAGACTCACAAAGCTAATGTGAGGACAAAAAAACATGCTGCCAGATGGTGAAGGAGTACAAGTTCATTCTGTTTTTTTTTCGTTCACAGTTGTACAGAAAAGCGATCATTCATATCGCAAGCAAAAGGGAAAATGTTGCTGGGGTGACCTCGCAACCCCAACTGAGAAAACTCATTTGGCTTAAACTTCGTCTGAATAGTGCTCGCGCTCGTCCCAGCCAGCATTCAGATCAAGCGTATCGATTGCCATTTCTTCGTAATCCCGCTCCAGCGTCACCATGTCCTCGCGCGCATCAGCAAATTCTGCCTCCTCCATGCCCTCGCCCGTGTACCAGTGCACGAAACAGCGTTTGTCAAACATCAGATCAAACTTGCGACCCAGGCGGGCCCAGGCCTCCACGATGGCTGTGGTGTTGCTGAGCATGCAGACGGCTCGAGGGACCGCGGCCAGGTCACCGCCAGGCACCGTTGTCGGCGGCTGGTGGTTGATGCCAACCTTGAAGCCCGTGGGACACCAGTCCACAAACTGGATGGTCTGTCTCAGTTTGATGCTCGCAATGGCCGCATTCACATCCTTGGGCACGACGTCACCGCGGTAGAGCATGCAGCAGGACATGAACTTGCCCTGTCGTGGATCGCACTTCACCAGCTGACTGGCTGGCTCGAAGCAGGCCTGCGAGAGCTCCCTGACTGACAGGTCCTCGTGGTGAGCCTTCTCGGCGGAGATGACGGGTGCGTAGGTGACGAGGGGAAAGTGGATGCGTGGGTAGGGCACGAGATTGGTCTGAAATTCTGCAAGGTCGACGTTGAGCTCACCGTTGAAGCGAAGGGAGGCTGTGATAGAACTGATCACTTGGGCGATAAGGCGGTTCAGGTTTGTGTACGTCGGTCGGCCAATGTCGAGGTTGCGTCTGAAGCGGAACCAATGGCAATGCACGTGCACTTTAGGCCCTGAGACACAGTCAGAAGGGATTTAGACTAATGAAGTTAATACGAGACGATCATTTTCTGCCAGCAAAGTTCACTTTAAGGGAAAATGTTGATGAGCACTGCGCATGTCGCCAAGATGACTACTGATCCTTTCCAATTGCGGTCTATCGGATTTGCGAACTCAGAATGGACATTAATGATGGCTTCTTCTGGAACTACTTTCCTTGATTTTGCCGTTTAATGGATAACCAAATTACAGCGCATCCTAATGACTGAAACGCCTCACGGATGGTTAGAGAAGAAATCTCATCTATCGCAATCTTAAATGACTGGCGACCCCAGGCCGGATCCCAAATGGGTCTTGGATGCTACTGTTCTGTTTTTCCCAAACCAGGCGACTGAGCCATTTAGGTTCTTATAGCCACATAGTAGACATCAGAAGAAGCACTAAATTTTAATTACTAGTATTATCGGCATGCAGTCGAATGCACAGAGGCCTGTCAATAGTTGAGCAATTGCGGCCGACATCGATCATTTCCCCCTGCTCTCCCGACCCAAACAAATGCGACTTTGTCCTGATTTATTGATACTGTAGTTCGCTAAGGCGGGTCATACAGGTCCTTCATCGGTCACACAAGAATTTTCCATCGACTTCAAAGGCTAAGTCGACAATGTTGACGTTAATGGTGCCTAAACAGCCGGATGACGAGTTGACCACACCTCAAAATACATTGCTCGGCCCAAAAAGATGGTGGCACCAACAGCGACTGGCGACAGCTTATCTCCTGTTTGCTGCACAATATCCAGCTGGCGTGTGCAGTGGTCTAAACGCTCCACAGCTGGCTAGCCCACCACACCTTGACTTCGTCGGCTGTCTGGAGGGTGGAGAACTGGAAAGACCATGCTGTTGTGCCAATTTCGGAGATTGCGCACACAACTGGACGCCTGTAGCAACGCTGTGCTTCACGCGCGTACTCGCGTGTATCAGCAGCAGTCCGGTTCTCGGTCAGTCACGACTATCCAAACCGACCAATCAACTTCAAGGCCGACACAGGCATGCCTCGTTCAAGGCACTCCGACGCCTCCCCACTAGCACTCGGGGTGCCCGCTCCCGCAATGCCGGACGTGCGCCCTTGCTCGACTCAAATTCCTCCAAACTGCGCCCCAGTTCTTCTGTAAAGGTTACAATCTGCCCTCAACTGGCGTTCGACTTTTCCTCTTTGAAATTGGATCACCCCTGAGGGTCGTAATGGCTAGGGTCTCCCGATGACTCCTGCTGCTGCTGCTGCTGCTGCTGCTGCTGCTGCTGCTGCTGCTGCTGCTGCTGCTGCTGCTGCTGCTGCTGCTGTTGTCGAGCCTACCCTTGGGAGTGCTGACAACGTCCGACCGCACCTCAGAGGACACCTTGTGCAGCGACTACAGCAACGATCGGGAGGGGGCCCTCAAACACACACGACCAGCGAAGGCGACTGTTTTACGTGAAATGTGGTTATAGGGCTTTTACGGGCGGGGCCTATGCATGCATAGATTAATGGCTGAACAAGTATAGATAATTAATAGCGCAGGTTGGAGGAAGTTGAGTCGGACAAGGGCGCACGTCCGGCATCGTGGGAGCGGGCATCCCGAGTGCTATTGGGAGAGGCGTCGGAGCGCCTTTAACGAGGCATGTCTGTGTCGGCCTTGAAGTTGCTTCGTCCGTTTGGATAGTCGTGACTGGCCGCGAACCGAACTGCTGCTGATACGCACAGGATAACTAAAAAATAAACATTAAGTGTCTACAACGATCGCTTCTCAACTCTCCGAGCTGAGGTCATTATGGATAATGCACCAGACCGTCTACAACAGACGACCCAACCTTGTACGATGGAACATCAAACCGGAAATAATCGCGTCGGACATAAATCCACTTCATGCATCTATGCCACAGATGTTTGGGGGCCTTAACCCGATCCTTACCGTTGTTTTGAAGAGACAGGATGCTAACTTGGTAGCGTAAGAAGAATTTATTGGAGGTCTGTGCAGCGTGTTGCGTCTGCATAACGTGTCTGCGCCAGCATTATTATCCAATATTAGGGTTTGTGACCAGGTGACCGATTGATCTAAAACGCGGGTGCCGCCGATCAGTGCAACTAGTGCAGCGTCTGTATGTGGTTCTGTTGCTAGTAAATGAGCTGAACACAGGGGGACAGATCTGAGTGCAGGGAGCGTTCGCACAACCGATGGTGTCGTGTGTGAACGCAGTAGCTGTAGGAATCGGGGCCTTCTCCCGATCGTTGCCAAAGAAACTTGCCAAGCGTACAAGATGCATCTTCTTTCTCACCTCGTCTTCTGTGTGCTGCTGTCAAATAATATAGATTTTAGTGAATGGTCGCCGTTTTCAGGTGCTCTTGTCTGAAACACGCACTTATATACAGCCCAACATGCAATCGACCTCTGGAATGGAAGTGTTTGAAATCCACATATGGTGAGCGAAATGGCATGAGGAGGGCTTGACTTGTTTTAGGTACATTGCTGATAGGGGCGACCGTACGAGTCCCAGGAAGCTGTTCAGAAGATGAGGACGCGATCACTGAAACAAGGAGTTTGTCGGCCTGGTGTTTTGGGTCCTCACTCAAACGCATTATCAGAGAGAGTCGCGGATAGGACTTATCGGAGGGGTTTGAGTGGGAATCCGGAACGTCAGGCCAAGAAACTTTTTGTTCCCGTAATCGCATTTTGTTTTTCCTAGGTAGATTGTTGTCTTAAATTTCTACGGCTATTATTGGTCGGCTCCTGTGGGCTTTACAGCAACTAGGACGCTCGACAAGCAAAGAGCCATATAGTTCACCTGCAAATGTCGTAAATGGCCTCATTGTCCACAATGAATGCGCAGTCCGAATGCTCCAGGGTCGAATGCGATGTGAGAATGGAGTTGTAGGGCTCCACAACAGTTGTAGAGACTTGCGGCGCAGGATAGACAGACAGTTGCAATTTTGACTTCTTGCCATAGTCAATGCTCAGACGCTCCAGCAGGAGGGAGGTGAAACCGGAACCGGTGCCGCCACCAAAGGAATGGTAGGTCACAAAGCCCTGAAGACCTGAACAGCGTTCAACTATCTTGCGGATGCGGTCCAGCGTTAGCTCTATTATCTCACGGCCGATGGTGTAGTGGCCTCGACCGTAGTTGTTTGCTGCGTCCTCCTTGCCTGTAATCAGCTGCTCAGGGTGGAATAACTGACGATAGGGTCCGGTCCTGATCTCGTCTGGCAGTGGAGGGATAACGAAGATGTTAGTTAAAGGTACACTGCTGGACTGCAAGAATTGCCAGTGACCAATCTCCTGAAAGTTTAACCGAAATCTTAAGGTGTATTTTCGATTGGGAGGTATTATTTAAGTAGGCTTGTTATATTGATTATCATGAAGCGTAAATGCGAAATATTTCAGACACGCTATAATCTGACTTTATGTTGGGCTTCTTATTACCCATCCGCAAAAACGTACCTGCTAAACAAAGACTACTCATGCAATATGCATTTAAATTGATTTCAGTCAGATGTGGTTGTATAGCCCCACCTGCATTAAAAAAAACCCCAGCCACCTGTAACACAGGATTAGTGGTAATAGGGGATTATACAGGTGGGCTCGGGGAATGCACAGGCGACGAGATCAAGTAGTTGTATGCAAAAGAAAAGCTACTGGGAGTGCGTGGTTAAAAAACAGTTGCGCTAACCCCAAACCCTAACCCTAGCACCTAACTTTAACCCCTAATCCTAAACGCCAACACCTAACCCGAACATTTAACCCTAACTCATAACCCTAGCCCCTAACAATAACCCCTAGCCCCTTACCCTTAACCCCAACCCCAGCAGTATTATATCCATCATGTCACATCTTACCAGAAAATCTAACGATCCTCCTTTGGTGTTACGAGCGTTTATTCGGTCTGCTTAGAGGTCATAGTGGCTGTCCAACGTTTTTTGATATTCATTTCCACGATTACGTTGATTTTATCTATAAGGGGCTTGCCGTGGGATAGTGGTCAGTATGTCGGCACTGCTCGTTTACAATTAGGTCTTACCATTGAAGCTTTTCAGAGCCATGCTCATCAAAATGAGACCTTAGAATTTCACCCTGACAGGCAGAGACACAACAGGCTTTCGAGCTTACCAATGACAGTAGGTTCCAAGTCAATGAACACGGCTCTCGGCACATACTTTCCTGACCCTGTTTCGTTGAAGAATGAACTGAAAGAATCGTCCTCCCCATTGAAAGCCTTTTTGCTGGGCATCTGGCCGTTTGGCAGAATTTTTTGTTCCAGGCAGAATAGTTCCCAGCAGGCGTTTCCAATCTGGACGCCTCCCTGGCCGACATGAATGTTGACAACTTCTCTCTGTTAGCAGAGGAGGCAAATGGGAGTTCTGAATGAACTGTGGTGAAAGTAGAATTGTGGAGGCACCTGAATTGTCCGCGACTTACCATTGTGTCCTCAGGGAAGGAGGGAGAGGGGAGTAAGTCGGCGTGGGGCTCACCTTTGGCGTCTGTTTAGTCCACAAGGTCTACCAGAACGGGTGATGACCCTGATTCGATCGATAAATTGACCTGTTGTCGCCGCGTGACTGTCACGCCACGGTTCGTATGAGTGAGATGCTGGCTTTGTTAGCTTCAGTTACGTCTGCGAGAGTGGTTCCAGAACGGACTTGCCGTTTAGGCCGTAGCTCCGATGTAAAGACTTCACGGTCACTCAGAAAGACATTTTAATTTATTTGCCATGGTCGAGAAATATACCAGATTTTGACTTGGTTCATTGAATTGGATGTTTTACCGGTCAAAACACGTATCCGAGCTCCAGTGGCCGCAATATCGGGTACGGAGAATCACGTAGGAATAACGTTCGCCTATATAGCCTAATTTCAGTCTCTCATGACTTTGTCTGTGTGAGTTATGAACAACCGCGTATTCATCGTTATTGAAGATCTGGAGACATCTAGAGAGCATATTCTGCTCCCCGGTTAGTCTTTATCGCCGAATACAGCTACGGTGTGAGTGTTGGTGTTCCGCATGAGGTTGACAGAAATTGGCTCTGATGGAGCTTGTGGTCCTGTGTCCGATCATCGTCTTTCCTGTCCGGTGTTGTGATAAGATTCCCCATTCCAGGCAGGGAATCGTTTCGATGAGTTCCACCTTCTTTCTCGGATATTCTGCAGTTCACTGTTAATTTCATCGCATCCGAACAGCCACGAGGATGACTCCCTAAAACTGACTGTGATTCTGTCGCGCCTGGTGAAAAGGGGGGCATACACTGACACGCGTCAGCCAGTTGTTTCTGAGTCTGCGTGATTCTTTGATGATTCGTACGTCGCAGACAACGACACTCACCGCGTGCTCCATAGAGTGGACCCAATACCAGTGACTTGCGCGTGAATTAGCTTATGGTGACACATGCCTTCATCGCATCTACCAGACTCTCTCCCCTCACCCAGCAGGCTCTAGTGGTGAAATAATGTTAATGACTTTACAAAACTTTAATGGTGGAGTTTAAATGTAAACGAGCATTGCTGACCTACTGGCCATTATCCCTTAGCGGGCTGCTTATAGATAAAATCAATGCGACTGTGAAAATTGGACAGCCATTATGACCTCCAAGCAGCCCCAATGAACGCCCACAACACTGAGGGCGGGTCGTTAGATTTTCTCAGGAGAGCTCTACCGAAAGATCGAATGCGCACTTTCATCTTAGCTACCGCTATTTATTACCCATACGTCCAGTCTCTCCAACCCGGGACAGGAGTACAACTTGTTACAACAGACGGATAATCTGATATATCTATTCCAATCCTTCCCGTCTTCATTGGCATGCAGCTATGTCACCAGTTCCACAGATGCAAACGACGACGTGCACGTGTGTTCCACGGAGTGGGTGCCGTACCGGTTGTTTGCGCGTGAGTCAGATGATAGTGAAGCCCACTTTCATCACATCTACCGCGCTCTCTCTCGCTCTCTTTGCTGCCCTCTGCAACAGGTTCCAGTGTCAAGCCAATGTGAAGGCGACCGGATATGGGGACGCGCGTTGACTGGCAAATCTAAGAAGCCCACCTACGTGTTCCACATGTTAACTGGTCCACCTGCAGTGTATCAAATTTTCATGGAAATGGAGACTCAGATACTACGTTCGTGAAAGTTTCATACAGGCCACACGAAGGAGGAGCCGTCAATGCGTATCTATCGCCAATCACATTCCCCCTGGTGCCTTCACCTTCCCGGTTAAGCCTTTTCGCTGCTGAAAGCGCTCTTTACTCATCGTCACCTACAGTCCAGTAAGCACCAGTTATCCGCCAAATCCTTCCCCATAACCGATGAGCTTTCCTTTCCTACAGTTGCATAAATGCACGCTCCACATTTCTGATTAGCCTGTCGCGGGAGCTGTAGCTATTGGCATCCCGTGGCCGCTACGACCTTCAGGCTCGCTCTCAAACAGAAAGAGAAGGCGTTTGACGCCGGCATTGTATTCTGTATATGCCGATCAAATAAAGGGTTGGAGGAAGTTGACAGTCGGACGAAGGCACATGTCTGACGCCGCGAAAGCAAACGTTCCGAGTGCGACAGTGGGTCATGCGTCAGAACGCCTTGAGCGAGGACACGCCTGCGTCAGGCCCGAAGTTGATTGGCCGGTTTGCACAGCCTTGATTGGCCGGTTTGTACAGCCTTGATTGGCTGGGAATTAGATTGCCGTTGGTATGTGCGAGATGCGCGGCGCTGCAACAGGCATCCGCAGAAGGACTTCTGCTCATCGACGGCACAACAGCTTTCGCTCTTATTTTATTCAGTCTGCGCCATCCCACAGGGCATAAACCGGTAACAATCGGGAGATGGCACCCAAAAAAATCCGTTACCTAGAAATAATACCTTTACCAGTGGACTCAAACGCCTTCAGGCTATATCAGCGGTTGCAGGCCTACTTTCACGCACTACTTGGACTTCCCGCGATGGCCTAACACGGGCTGGCCGAACGAACATCGCAGGAGGTTACATGGACGATGGTCGTTTTTACCCAACCTGGATAGACGGCATACATTCGCATTATGAATGCTTATTTTAAAAAATCACTTTTAAATAGGATAAGTCTGCACAACATGGGACAGGAACAGTTCCCAGGCGTCTGTCAAAGACATGGCATTGAGGTCAAACCAAAGACGATACTGTACTTCGTCTCTGTGGGCCCACAAAGCTTGACCACATACTGGGCCACCCTCGTGGAGTTTACTTTTCAGTCTACTCCAGTATGCCTCAATGGCATTGGTGTGCCGTCCGGTGGTAGGGTCCTTGAAGTTCTTTGAGTGGTTAACATAGAAATGTAGATAGCCTTCTGAGGGAAGACGATTATACGCTTTCCACTCGTCGGTTACCACTATACTGCCTTTGACGACCAATTTTGTAATAACGGAACGAGGAGCGGGCCAACTTCGATCATTCGCCTGTTCAAATAAGGCTTTCTGTCGGCTACTAGCGTACATCCCCATCAGCCATAACCCATAAAACCCCTATTACCACCTGTCCAGCAAGACAGGCTGCTTTGGTTAGGCGGATTTTTTTGGGTGCCATCTCCCGATTGTTACCCATAAACCCCCATCTCTGACTCCAGCAAGAAGATTCGCTTCTTTTAAATTAATCGTGCAATGTCTCAATCGAATCTTTTGAATTCTTTGTGTGTTTGTATTGGTGGAACTCTAGCCTTCAAAGTGCTTATTTTATTTAGCCGTCCAATTTAGCTCCTCAATCAATAGACAAGAAATGACCTTGAGCTAGAAACCCTACGCTGTACGTACTGGTTAGCAGCTTAAGGGTGAGTCCAGAGAGACCCTGGAGAGTTTCCTAGTCGCCGTTTGTGAAGATAACGCCTTCTGCTGCATTCTTCTGCCTTACGCTGGTAGACCCCGATAATCAGATGCCTACGGCTGTGTCGTTGAAACCAACCACACCTGCCATCCACCATGAACTCACTCAAGTCTATGTTAACACAAAACTCGGTGTCGCTTGGCAGAATGCACTAGTCTGCACTTGACCGAGTTAATTGCCGGCTGTAAAACGCCCACCAATGTGAAAAATAGCAGGCGAGCTGGGTACCTGCCCTCCCCCTCCCCCAGCCCCGAGTCAGATGGCTAGAGCTTAATTCCTGTCGCGTGCAGGCCTGTTGCAGTTGTCGCATACTCGACAAAACAACTCATTCATCGCTGTCCTGTCTGCGCGATTGTAGTACTCGTTTTCGTCTTGCAGACAGGATACGGCATCGCACACTACTCTCAGGCGACTGGGTAGTCCTGGCCTCTGCCGACGTGGCGTGTGCCTATTAGTGCAGGTGTGGGTGCTTTGTTTATTGATTAGTCCTCCCGCCGGTGTCTCTTAGTGCGAAAGCACTCCATCCACGCACTAAACACCCGGGAAGTCACGTTTGCGGGGAAACGCCCTTCGGAGAGGCATCGAATGATAGTACTGTTTTCTATTCTAGGTTCCGTGTTTAGTTCAATCACTCCGGATTTCAGAGTTTGGCAATCGTAGAAAGCTACAGGAATACACAGAGGACCATTTCCACTTTTTTCTTATTCCCCACGGGTTTTGCGTCTATCTAACCCCATATGCGCACTGCCTTTTCGGCGCTGGTTTCTGCTTTTTACAATTTCAGGATAGGGAGCAATTTCAGGGCAGATTTGGCTACCTCAATCAGAACCTTGACAGGACACGTTAGTATGCACGAAACTGCTCCAGCTACAAGAGGTAGGCTAAATCATGAAATGTCAACCAAAATTCAGAGATACATTTTCGTTTTTAAAAGATTAATTAAGCAGGATTGTGAAACTAGTCCGCCTGCAAAATAATTCTATAATATTTCAGTTACGACAGGATGCCGGCTTTCGAACGAACTTCCTTCCGACTGCATGCAAAAACTACACTCTGTAAAAATGAGTACTTATGTAGCATGAATTTTCTCATTGATTTTCGATGCCCCTGAAAGTCCAATTATATTTCATGGAAAGCATACACAAAAATATTCATTCTTTTGCTCATTTAGCAGAAAATTGCGTCTTCGTCTAATTTTATACTCGAATGAGAGACATAATTCGGTTTTAAGAAAGTCGCTTATTCTGGGACTTTTAAATACCGTGAAATGGCCGTTCATAAATCTTCATGTCTTTGCATTTAACATTGTGTCTTGTAAAGTTAACAATATGGATCAAATCCACTGTTAAATTTTAGTAACCCTATATTGTCTTCCTTTTTTACCGTAGAGAAATGTGTGGTTTTCCGTACGCGGAAAATATACGGCTTGTAGTTTGGGAACCCTGAATTCAAGTGTAGAGCGAGTTCAAAATTATGAAAGGTTTTTAAAAACCGAATTATACCCTTCCTTCGAGTATAAGATTGGAAGAAGACGTAATTTTCTGTCGAATGAGCAATAGAATGAATCTTTTTATGCATGTTTTCCATGAACTATAATTGGACTTTTAGAGGCATCGAAAATCAGTGAGAAAATGCATGCTACATAAGTAGTGATTTTTACGGTGTGTAGTTTTTGCATGCAGCCGGAAGGAAGTTCGTTCGAATACCGGCATCCTGTCGTAACTGAAATATTATAGAATTATGTTTCAGGCTGACTAGTTTTACAACCCTACTTAATTAATCTTCTCGAAACGAAAACGCATTTCGGAATTTCAGTTGACGTTTCATGAGTTAGCTCACCTACTGTAGGTGCAACGTTATTTGTTGGACTAGAGTTGCCGTGGACGCACGAACTCGAGACTTACGCCCTGCTGAAGGGACGGCTCAAGTCGGCACCACCGGATGTATGCATAAGCCTGACTAATGTCGTGGTTGGTCAGGCATGTGTCACGACAGCGTGCGCGCACCTCCCTAGCGTTGTCCCGATTGCGTTAAAACAGCCAGCGCGGTTAAGGAAAAGATACTAGCCAGTTAAAGGCAACCGTCAGTCCGACATCCCGACACAAAGGATCATAAAGAGGGGTCTCAAAGCTCTTCCAGCAGATCACGAGGCGTGCCGAGTGACTGTGGTTACCGTTCTCTTTACTTGTTTGGTTTAACCACTTGCCTGTATGCTTAGCATAGGGTCTGTTCGCTATGTGGGCACAGTCGTCAACTTGGCAACGGTAGGTTGTGCAACCCCACCTCCCGACTAAAGTTGACTGTCTTATTATTGCTGTTTATGAGAGGACCTATACACAAGTAATCTTAAAGAAATGAATAAGTCTGGCTTACACGTTCGACAACAAGAACCGTTCAGAGCTATTGAGGAGGCACAGCGTTTGTGCTCTAACCGGCACAAAGTAAACCAAAACGCAGCCGGCGATCCTTACAGCACTCATGGTATGGTTAGTATCGATATGGCACAACATGGTTTAACTGCTCTTCCGGGAGAAATAAGTAAGTCACGGCGTATGGAATTGACAACAAAAGCAACGTAATTGCATGAGTCTAACTAGAAAATCAGGGAGGAGGGACGAGAACCTCATGCCAAATGGTTTATCACAAAAAAAACCATGCCGGAATAACTCAGTGCAAGCGGTTGCGTCAAAGTGCTAGATAACACATAAAGGGGCGCTTCCTGTAGCTATGGATTAATAAACGAAATGAGGCCTTCTAAAACAAAGATAGTAGTTACTTATACACGATGGACCCAGTGGGGTTCTACAATCTACCCTTATCGTTAACTTTCTATGTTTCTACTGAAGTCAGGTAAACGAGGGAGTTTAAAGTCCCAGTCTGGTTAGACACCTCATCAACAGTGAGATAGAAAACAAGCTGCCCTGGCAGACTGACCCAGTCGATACTCTCTGGATGGCCACATCGGGCGCACCTAACTGCTGGCATACACGCCTTCCCAGGGAACGCGTGACCAGTGTTTTCGAGGTAATATGACTCGCGCGCAGTCAACCCGGGGTTCAGTCAACCGCAGGCGTCCAGAAACTCGGAAACCATCCAATCAGCTCCCTCACACTTAGTCCTGTCCATCTAACCCCACCCAACTTCTGGGGAGCACCCAGACGACCTTGCATCGCGGGCTCAGGCCGCTGCAAAGCTTCAGGACAGAATAGATGTCCCCCCTAGTGGAGGGAACTTAGTCCTTGCGTTGTGATTGGTAGGGTAGTACCATTCACCTAGCTGTTAAACCATGACTCAAAAAGTCTTTTAGAGTCCGAAGACACAGTTAACGGAAACAAGTATTGTTGTGCAGTCAGAGATGGTTCAAACGATGCAACTTACGTGTACTTATCCCCAGAAGGTTCAGTTAGAATAAAAAGGTGGTCTTAAGTCCCACAGGGTTCATTAAAGTTGCAGTCATGCTTCGTCCCTCGTCGAATCCTCGTTGCGCCGGTGGTAAATTGGGACACTTAAATGGGCAAACTTACAATGTGCTTCCTGTGTCTAACCAGAAAATCCAAACAAAAGCCAAGCGTCGGGCGGTGCGGGAGGTTGGCACAACGTTAGTTTTATTCATCAATTAATAACTTGGTTTTAGCAGAGAACTGAAAATCATTCAAAATCAGAGCAGGAAACAAATCCGGCTACTGTGACACCGGGTAACGTTAAAATTTATGAAAGTTTATAGCTAAAAGCCAGTTTAACAAAAAGAAACCAACCAACTGAAGTAAAGAATGAATATTTATTTGGAGCGATTGATATACAATCAGTACCATAAAGTGGTGCGGTCAACTCTACATCGTAGTCCAAAGCAAACTGCCTTAAGCAATATGCAGAGAGGTCTCTGATTGCCGTTTTAGATCTCAAGAAGATAACTTAAGCCAACCGCGAGCAGGCACTCATCCCACCATTGTCGTATGACGGTCCTCGACTGGCTCAGCTGCGGTTAACCACATCGGCATATTGATGATGGTTTTGCTCTGTCTGAGCAAAACGATCACGCCGCCTGGCATCCTCAGGTCCTCGTCATGCATCACCGTATTCCAGTCAGTAACGGTCATTCAAATGGATCAACCAAATCAAGCCAGCATGAATCTTTTCTGAATCACATGTCTCCAGCATTTCAACAACAACAACAACTGCCACTACCCCTGTGAGTGGGCGTGCATCATCTGTGTTGACGGGCTCAAACGCAATTTAGGCGTTCTGTATGGCATTGGAGTTGCCCCCCCCTGGCGTCAGTTGTCTTCTCACGCCTGTGGCCTCACTCAGTAGGCTGCACTGGTTACTGCAGGCCCATTACTTTAGCTGATAAAACAAGCAAATACTCGTCTAATGAGTGGTCTGGGTGTGGGCTATACACTGCCGCCTTCACAGTGGACACTGGTGTTTTGGCTTTAGGAGGCCTGCACACCCAATGACCCAGAAGAAACCGGCTGGCCGGGGAACGGCTGCCGCCTTGAAAACAACGCCGGTGCCAAGCTAGGGCGACCTAGTAAACCGTAATAAAAATGCATCTGAACAACTTGTCCTGACTCGAAGAAAATGGAACATTTGCTGGCAGTAACTATCGTTTTAAATGCGGGCTATGGAAGCGCAGACAGAAAATCCTGGTCTGAAACGGATACGAGCCGTCGACTTGTTGAATGCCAATCTGGCGTTCTAAGAACCTGAGCCACCAGTCGCTGTCCGCCGACTGTTAGCATTCGATATTTTCTTACCTTCGACTACGCTACATCAAACGGCAGCTATTAATCACAAATATTGAGGGGTCTATGCAAAACCGAATATCCGCTAGGCTTCACGGGTTTCGAGTGCGTCCCTGCGGCAAGATACGGGAAAAGGTACCTCTTCTATTCTGAAGACTCACGTTACTTTCCAGGGAGATTAGGATCGACGTTATGGTGCAAGCTGTCGTAAGGTTAAGACACTATTAAGGTCAGATTAAGAGTTAAGGTTTTACTTAGAGATAGGGCATGGGGATATTAGCCATTACTGAAATTTTGTGCATGATCACCGGTATTACTGAGGAGGGGGGTTCATACTCCCGTGTCTTGCCGTCCCTGCGGGAGTGCAAGGGCGGCGAAGACCGGCAGTTCGGGATGGTTTCGGGACAGATATTTGCTGGTTGAATAAATATCGTAATTTATTTTGCTCAGTCAATGATACCTATCCTTTGCTGCATTGTACTGAGTTGCTATCAGCGCGTAGGTGTAGGAGGTTGGCGAAAAGCTAGCATCTGATCACTTCAGTGGGTATTCTGTGCCCTTCGGGATCCGAAATCAAAGTCTAAGAATAAATATGTCAAGATACCAATCAGTTAGTCAAATCTGCGTTTCAATGCCCATACCTGTAGATCGACTCAGGAAGCAGGCAGTCACAGTGTCCCTTTGTGAGTGCGGGTGAAGAGAAGAGGGAACTGTCTCTGATGATGGGTGCGAATGCGAATCCGAAACGTAGGGCCAATAAATTTCTTGTCCCAGTGATCGCATCTTCGTGTTCAGAACGTGCAAAATTGGTAAGCCAGAAACACAGCAGTGAGGACTGATTCGAAGTTTCCGGCTCTCCGCTATTAAAACTTGGAAATTCGCGATCGCTACGAAGGCATTAAACAACAATAGGCGAAATTATGTTAGCAAATGAAACCCAGGGCGAAAGAAGCTGCTGCTGGTCGTTGGTCAGACGCCTCTCTCCATCCAAAGCGCTGAGTAGTGATACCCGAGGAAGCAACATGGTTCGAAAGTTTCATTGGGTAATTCAGTTAGCAGATTGTAAAATAAACGGCATTTTGCGGCACACTTGTTAGGATACCTCCAAATCCAGCGGCGGTTCAATTACAATCCTAAAAGGACGTACCCCACGCTAACGGGAGCACCATCTAAGGATATACTTGCCAATACATAATAACTTGCCATACTGACAGCATAGTTGTTAAATAAAAGCACAAACGCACTTGTTTTGTCGATCTTGTGGCGCTGCATTACACAGCTGCAAAGGGGCTCGGTTCATCGGTGGGTCCCTAAACTGTTTTTGCTTCCTATATCGCTAATCATCGAGTATTTGCAAACTACTGACTTATGTAGACAGCTTGCTATTATAACGCGGTTATTTTGCAATAGCTGGTGGATTTCACCTTAAATATTCATAACAACCTTAGGGGCGTGCCTAAAATGCTTTGTTCTGTAGAATGAACCGCGAGTTCCTGCAATAATTTCCGAGGCAATTGAAAAGGACATGCTTGCGCATCTTGACAAAAGGAGTATTCGAGAATTTTTAGGACACATCCGTTCGTTCACATTTGAAAACTAGCACAAGGAGATGGAGGCCACATCTTGGAAAAAACAAGAAGTCTTCGATAGCACAACGCCCAGCAAGTAAACTAGATAAAGGACGGGAAATCTGTTCTTATCCAGAATGGTCGTGCGTTTTTTAATTTTTTGCTTTGTGTTGCGGAGTGCGAAGAGGTGGTTTTATTCTTTTTTAAAAGACCATGCTGAATTATTGGGGTGAAACCTGACACCCCACTTCCTTGTAACTAAACGGGATAAACAGTGTGCTGCTCCCAACCAGTCTCCTCGAAAAGCCGACAGTATAAAGATGCTCGAATTAAAAGTTCCAAACCAACCTAAGTGTCCATCTAACGAGTCGATAGTAGATAATTAATCGCAGTTGAGATGAGTGACAGAGACAATTTTCAAGCGGGATGAGCGTTCGTTTTTCCTGCGACCCACAGAAGCACCCGAACGCAACTCAGTGAAAATCAAGAACTTTTCGTGTGGTAAGGATACATTGTGTGACCCCACCCGGCTTAACATGTATAACTAACCACTATATTTATCTTAGTAGGCTTTGTTTAATTTGTCAGCCCACGGCTTCAGGAAGTCACGCATTGAATTTTTCCTAGCACACCGCTATAACCACAAGCACCGAGCTGTTTCGGTATGACCCTTTTAGTGGCAAATTATTTGGCATGATTTGGCCTTTGCTTTTTCTCTCCCCCTTCGCAGTTCGTCTCTTCCAAAAGAACAGCTACACCTTTTTGTGCCATGGCTGTACCCACAATGCAAAGCGTGCTGTTAGCATCGTCGGCTGCGTTTTGGTTTACTTTGCCTCGGTTGAAGCACAAACGCTCAGTTTTCTCGATATCTACAAACAATTTCTGTTGTCAGACTGTAGGCCGTGACTTATTTTCTTCTCCGAACAGACTTGCTTGACCTTCTTGTGCCATGTCGGCACTCACAATACAACGCGTGCTGTAGGGGGGGGGGACATCGTGTGTTTTGGTTTACTTTGTCTCGGTTAGACCACAAACGCTCATGTTCCAAGATATCTTGTCCAACGCGTATGCCATGGCTTACCTATTTCTTCAGGTATATTTGTGCGTAGTTCCTTACATAGCCAGTAATAAGGCAATTAAACTCAGTCGAGTTAATGTACGAAAGGTTACTTACAAGTGGTCATTAAATTACGTCTAAGAAGGAGCTCTTTACATAGGTTTTCTGTTCTGGAAGCTGTTGCACCAAATATGCTTTCGCAATATGCAACAGGGATATTTCCCGTGTTTGTTTTGGACAAACGCTGTCTAAGCCAAACAGCAGGCGATATTGAACCCCGTCTACGTGGGCCATATTACCCGATGCGACACCGGAACCCCCTAGAACCGTCCCCCTTCGGCAGCAGTCGCATCGAACATATATCCGCCGGTGTGTGGCCTCATTACCTACTGGCGTATTTGGCGTTCACATTGGCATTTTGCCACACTAGATTGCAGTCCTCTTGCTTGGAAGTGTTCTACCGCCTTCTTCGATTATTTCCTCCGTTCTGTTCAGAAACTTAAGCGCGGTTTTTTGACTTTTTTGCGATATGGAGCCGACTGTCTGAATTTTAGGAGTATAAAACCATTATCACCTACCCTGTTCATAAGTGCATTTCATTAGTTTATATAAACTTTCCAAATGCAGTGAGTGACCGATCTCATGAAATGTTGGCTGAAGTTCTGAAATGCGTCTTCGATTAGGAAGGATTACTTAGACACCATTCTAATACTAAATATCTTGCGGCATAATCCCATAATATCTGGGACTCGGCAGGATGTCGGCTCTTGAATATACTGCTTTTCAATCTCTTACAGGAAGCATGCTCAGTAAAAAATGACTCCTTAAGTAGCTTGCATTTTTCCCTTTCATTTTCGATGGTTTTGCAAATTGCAACATGTTTTATAGAAAGCACGGGCAAAAATACGCTTTTTTAAGTCGTTTGATGGAGAATCTCGTCATCTCTATATTTTATACCCCAGGAAGGAGTATGGTTAGGTCTTAAAAAATTTCTAATTAGGGGACTTTTTGGAACGCGCAATGTCCATTCATATAGCATCCTACCTGTCCGTTTACCACTGCTTCTTATGAAATGTACAACACAGTCCGTACCCATTGCAAAATTTTATGGACTCTATAGGGTTTCTTTTTAAAGGCATGAAAGAATGTATGATTTTCCTTACACGGAACGCGTGCAACTTGTAGACTGAAAGAGCTAAGCGCTAATGCAGTGGCTAATCAGGCTCTAAATTATTCGGGAATTAGAAAACTTTTTAAAACCTATTCATACTCCTTCTTTGAGTATAAACAACAAAGATGACGAGATTCTCCATCAAACGACTAAAAAAGCGTATTTTTGCCCGTGCTTTCTAGAAAACCTATTTCAATTTGCAAAACCATCGAAAATCAATGGGAAAAGTTCATGCTACTTAAGGAGTCATTTTTACTGAACATGCTTCCTGTGAGAGATTGAAAAGCCGTATATTCAAAAGCCGACATCCTGCCGAGTCCGAAATATTAGGGGATTATGCCGCAAGATAATTAGTATTAGAATGGTGTCTAAGTAATCCTTCCTAATCGAAGACGCATTTCAGAATTTCAGCCAACATTTCATGAGATCGGTCACTCACTCTAAATATTTATTATCCTAAATGCCTATTTTACAGTAGTTAGTTGACTTGCTACGAAAATAAAAGCAAGCGTTCATAGTTATGCCCATTTACTTTTCCTCTCTTCATTAGCGTGTATTGTCATAGCTTACTTAATACTCATGTGCATCACACCGCCCCGCAGTTTATTTCCGCAGCTGAAATATTTGGCACTTGCCGTTAATCTCTCCTATTGATTATTCGTTCCATTGGTTCCTGAGCTGTAGCGAATTTACGGGTGGCGGCTTATTTGTTGCTTATTGTCTATTTTTCAATTTACGCGCTCACTTCCGTTGCTACATATAGGCCTGAGGAGGATTTTGGCGGAAATCTACCTATTTCTAAGCTTTGTTGCATACATTTCGTCTCGCCTCCGCGGTGATGTCCCATCCGTAGGGTCGTTATTGCCACCCCTCCCGTATCACACCATCACGGGACTACTGGTTGCGAAGTGGGATTACACAACCTACCGTCGTCCCTAGTGTGGTTGACCGATAAACAGAAACCAGAATTGTCACTGACTTCAATCGCTACCAAGTCTTTCCTCAAGTCGAAGGTTGACGACAGAAAAGAGCTAAGTGGCAATTTTTCTGTCCACTGCGGTAGCCCTCTTCCGCTCTTTCCAGGGCGAACGAATAAATGTAGGGAAACAACAGATCGACGCTAGCACAGGGGGCACGAGCCTCAGAATTCCTTTAGACTCCCCAAGCGCCGGATTGACATTACTTTTGGCTTGATAGTTTCGAATCCCCCGCAAAGGCCTTTCTGGCGGCCTCAGTCGAGGGTTGTCAGCATTCTCTCAGATCGGGATTCACAGCTAACCCTAAGGCGATGCCCGGATCTAGTACACCTCAAAGACGGCCTAAGATAATTGCAGTCAGGCAGTGCTTTACCGCATGCCCTTGAAGAAGCGTACATTGCGACGCTCAATAAACAGTCAGCCATCTCGGACCCCGGAAGACTTCAATGAGCATTTGCAGTCGACCGACGGGAACCACAACGGAGTCGCGGTCTAGAGCGAAAATAACATGTGACCACGCGCGTAGCAGGGGGCCAGGAAGGGCTGAGAAATGCACGCGAGACCAGTCAATCAGCGTACCCTGCTGTATCGAATAGGCGTGAAGCCCTTGTTCGCCCGCGCGGTCCAAATGTTCGAGATTCCGCGAGGAGCTCCCAGCATGAGAAATGGCCAATTGATGTGCGACACGTCATAGGCCAGAATATTCCAGAATACCCACTGCAATTGACCGAAAGTTCAAGGACGGCCAGAACCCCGATAGATTGGCGAGAGTTGATGATCTAAGGGATCCGCTGTTCTCGCCGACCTAAAGTGTTTCTTCCAAGAACCAGCCTTCCTTCTCTTCCATCCCACCCGTCGGGATGGAACAGACCCGATAACAATGATCCTATAAACTCAAACTTCGTTCTCCTCGTAACTCAATTGTGGAGACAAAGGCCTTTACACCTGATGTGGGTTGCAAGTACTAGCTACTTCGAAATACCCTCGCCTTTTGACTTCTCCAGTCGGTACAAATAAAGTATGCTGAGAGGTGCCCCAGACCTTTCTGGCAGTAAGTGAGAAGTGCGCACCGTTGACATGAACACTACCCAGAGGCGCGATGCTTCGGAGACAAACGTGGACAGATGCGCTTGGTGGGGGGGAGGGTGTTGTAATGGGACTTCCAGATCCGTACGGTGGTGCAGTCATGACGCATTCTTTATAAGTTCGGGCATCCATCCTTGGTAAGACACTGCATCAACACTGAAGATCGCACACAACGTCGTTAGCGTATACTCAAAGCGTCGCTGTAGTCGCCCCCCCCCCGAATGGTTGATTATATCGATAGCTAGAAAAGACAGATAATAAGTTAGAGAAACGTTCGCTCTAATTCAATCCAGTCAACGACTATTTTATCTGTACGGTCATAAGCGAAAAACCTGACTTCACCTCTCCCAATGACAAAAGAAAAAAAAGTACGTAGTGTAGTATGAACATTCCGAAAAAAGGAGGTACAAACACATCTGATAAGGTAAAAAAAGAGTAGTCTTTAGAGGTGAATTCAGTTAGGGTAGAGCCACAGGGTATCCACTAGCTCCACGACGTGACCGTAGTAGTATCCACCCCCGCCTAGGAAGATCAAATTAGAAAGAGAAAGTTAGATAGTAAACAGGAATTCGACGACTTAGATAAAAGAGGCTGGAGATCACTGGAAAAAAAGTAGTGCTAGAAGTGTAGCCTCCCGTAGATTCAATGCCAAACCTGGAGCTTGTAGGAACGAAATGGCGCTTGGTATGGTCTCAAGTGGATATCGCAACGTGTAACTGTAATGACCACAAACCTTGCCTGTACCAGTGTCCCTGATTGGGGCCTTGCAAGGTTCTCACTAAGCGCTCAAACCATCATCGAAGTTATACCCACAGTAGGTTAGCTGAAATTCAGAAATTCGATTGCAACCAGAAAAGATTACCTATGTGGGATTGTAATGGCAGTCCGATCGTCACGGACGACGATGTCCACCGCGTGCCCCACGACATGGTGGGCGCAGAACCGGTGATTTGAGCGTAAGTTAGTTTATAATTATGACAGACTTGCGCGGCATCTGTTGCATCCTCCCCCTCACCCGCCTGGGCCCGGTGGGGAGACAGGGTCAGGACGTCCAGAAGAAGGCTCGGGCGCAGCGGCCGACAAAGATAAATGGCCCGTCTACGCGTGCCATACACGATCTGGTCCCACGGACATGAACCGGATTTTTCACAGAACAATGGGGGCGCCTTTGATCTCATCTGGGTGGCAGTACAACAGTCACATCCACAGGGAACTGTCGAGCCTGACTCTCAGGCCTGGGAGGGCCGTCGTCAGACTGCTTATAGTGAGGAATGCGCTAAAGTGCCGTGGGCTGAGTTTCCCAGAATCCACCTCACTCTTTCTTCAATCTCCCCATGCATCAGTTCGCCGTCCGAGTCGGTCAGTCATCTGACCGAATGGCCGGCGCGGAGTGAAACCTGCGCCTTGGAGTGGCATCACGCTAAGTGTGACACTTGCTGTGGGATGCGCAGTCTACGCAGCCAGACTAACGCGCGCCGTATCTTAGTCTAGTCCCCGTTTCGACTCAACGCATCTCCAGGGTGCTCCGTTGTGAGGGCCACTGGCGGGGTTGTTACACTGACTATTTATGCCTCTATAAATGAAAATTGATTTTATGGAAAGCATGCATAAAAATATCCACTCTTGTAGTCTGTCGCAAACAATGTCTTTCTCAAATTTTCTGCTTGATGAGAAGGTAACTTCCAGTTTTAAAAATGTTTTTCAATCCCTGAATAATTTTAAACCCAACTTGCTATCACCCAGGCGTTTAGGGTTTTCAAACTACACACTGCACATTCTCACTTTGAAATTAATACAGTAGATGTGCTAACTCATGAAATGCTAGCCGGAATTCTGAAATGCGTTTTCGACTCGAAAAGATTACTTAAGCCGGGTTGTAATACTAATCAACTCGCATCATAACCCCAAGATAATTCAGTTGCTTCGGGATGCCAGCTTTTGAATGGACTTCTTTTCGGGCGCCTGCGAAAACTACACTTTGTAAAAAATTGTCACTTAATTAATATTGATTTTCCACATCGATGTTCGGTGCCTCTATAAATTCAAATTCGAAATCCCTGAATAATTTTAAACGCGACTTCTTATCACACACGCGTTTAGGGTTTCCGAACTACTGATTGCATATTTTCGCTTTGAGATCAATAAACATAATACGGCATTATAAGGTGTAATAATACTATAAATACAAGTACTGGCAAATAAAAGCATTACATAGATATGGATATGGATCACGCTGTACCCTTAGTAAGGGGATTAATAAACAGGCAAGTAGGATGCTATCTTAATAGACATCTTACGCTCATAAAAACCTCATAGTTACAGACCTTTTGGGGGCCAAAGTAGCTCTTTCGGGTATAATATTTAAAGAAACGTAATTTCTGATAAAATGATTACAGGATATCTTTGTGCGAAAAAGGAAACATGATCGTTTAAACATGAGCTTTATTAGCCTGACGTTTCGGATCCTCACTCGAATTCATCATCTTTGTGCATGATTTCTGTGAAAAATGCCTTGATAATCAGTGTACAAAATCCCCACCACTTTCCACTGAGTGCGGTTCTCGCATGCGACTGGTAATGCGCGCATTCGAAAATCGACATTCTGGAGGTGACTGAAATGTCCTGAGATTATGTAGCACGATGATCAATATTATAGCCCCACCTAAGAAAGTCTTTCGAATCTAAAACCCATTTCAGAATTTCGATTGATGTTGCATGAGATATGTCACCTACTCTACATAGCAGACATGTAGTGATCCAACAGCTTGATTTTTAGGAATCGATCGATTTATGTTGCCTGAATATACGCAACAGCAGAGGGGACACACAAACGCAACTGCTATTACAATGCGTCGAGTCACCAGTAAGAAGCGAACAGGTGACAACCAGGTAATTTTCTATCCTCTGACACTATACATTATGCGTCGTACCCCAGAGCTTATTCTTTTACCACCTCTTCTGGCGTTTTGCCTTTTTTTAGTAGGTAGTTTCCCCAACTTGTGGAAAACTGACTACGTCTCAGCCTCGTCTTACCAACTGTTGGCAGAGTCAATTAAAGTTCCATGAACCCTACCCGCCAACGACCCAAATAACAGCTGAAATTGCGCTCCCAAGGTCGAGTACTGATTGCTCGTCGCTAGACAACCGCGGGCTCCTTGAATTCAGTCTAACAATGGGACTAGAACGCTGACGACAACCGATGACTAGGAAAGAGCCCGCGGTTCAAGTGGTACAGCGTCTGGTCCAACGACCAGTCTAGCGGCAGGGTGTGGCTGGCTGGCGACGGCGAATAAGTCGGAAATAGTCACTCCAGTCTCTGCTGTCCATAACATTTTTCGACTAGTATGAATCTCCAGGGGAGGGCTTAGCTGTCTTTGCAGTTAGCGAGAATAAGAGAATTAAAAAAAAAACGGGAAATGGAAAGTCACGACGAAAAACCGACTGGTTGACTGTCGGAGCAGGTGCGGCTTCTTGATCTACTGAGGAGGAGAGGGTGGGGGCGAGGATTTCACACGCGAGGGTATCGCTCGAGGTAAAAACCTTATTACGGTGACTTGGCCAACCGCCCTTAGCTGAGATCGCCACCGAGGCAAAGGAGCCCAACAAGAGGTCAGGTAGTCTTGAGGAAGGAGGCACGATCGCTGGGACGAGAGCTTTATTAGCCTGACGTTTCGGATTCCTGTTCGGACCCATCAACACAGACAAAAGCAGATACGGGTGGTTCATGCACAAGGGGCTGCAGTACATATAGGATGCAGTCGTCATGCTACTGAATACCCTTGAATATTCAGACCCCCCTTCCCCTTCATCAGGGATGGCAATTTGATGGCCAAGATTCGCGTTGTTAATTGCTGCAATTTCATAACGTACGTTGGATGTTGGTGTGATGATTGCTCGATCATCAGATCCACCGATTCTTCCTTCAAGTACTTCAGTTTCTGAATTATTCTGAGGTTGACCTGTCGTTGCATTTGCATTTCTGATTCTCAATCTACAGGTTGTACGCTTTCCATCTAAGGGGAAGGTCATTGCACCTGCTAATGGACTGGAGGCCAGTAAACCATGACTCGAGCAGCTCCCGGCTCACGCGATTGTCACCTCTTGCGAAAATTTCGGCCTCGTCGAATTTGAATGTGCGGCCGGATCTGGTCGAATGAGCCGCAACTTTAAAGCTGGCGTCATTTCTCCGCACCGTTGCAGCGTGTTCGACCATTCGCTTTCGGAACTGTCTTCCGGTTTCTCCGATGTAGTTGCTTTGTCTGCAAATGCACCAGATCCGATAAACGACTCCAGACGTTTCTTGACGTGGCAGTTGGTCCTTTGGTTTCATTACTTGACGCCTGATGGTTGCCTCCGGTCTGTGTGCAACTCCAACCCCAAGTGGTGTGAGAATGCGGCCGACGGCTCCCGAAACGTTCTTGACATACGGAAGCGCTCGCCAAAATTTGGTGTCCGTGCGGTTAGGCCTTTCGTCCCTTTTGCGTATGCACCGGTTGACGAAGTTGCGCGGGTAGCTATAAGCTTTGAGGACCCGTCGGGGTATTGTAGTTCGGCAATCTTGTCTTCCGGATCACTGCAGTGCGTTTCGACACGCCGATAGAGCGTCCTTGCACAACTGAGTTTCTGGCTGATTGGGTGGTTGCTGTTGAAGTTCAGCACTTCCATCGTATTTGTCGCTTTCATGAACACTTTGGTTTTCTAGTCCACCACAATCTTTGCGGCATACTAGGACATCCAGGAAGGCCAGCTGGTTGTTCTCTACGTCCTTCATCGTAAATTGTATGTCCGGGAAGACCGCATTCAGATGAAACGTCAGGCTAATAAATCTCTTGTCCCAGCGATCGTGTATCCTTCTTCAAGACTGCTTTCTGGGACTCGTCTCTTCGCTTCTATAGGTCACGTAATTCTTGCTCGATAAGGTGTAGCCGCAGACATGCGTAAGTACCCTGAGCCGAGAGCTCCCAAAGCCATTAGACATCAGGGTCTTTATGGCCCACAGATGCGGCATTAAGAAGGGCTTTCACCTTAACTCAAGGATTGGGACGGGACAAAATATCGGGACGGTTGAAGGAAACATGCTTCAGAGGCTGAAAAAGTAGCGAGGCCGATGCAGCATACCCGGTGTCCGGATAAGTTCGTAAACTATCCTCTTCTCGATGCGCATGGGATCCAGTGCAGATAGTTTCACAATCCAAAGTCGCGGCGCGAGGCTAATGGTGAAACGAAAAGAAAAACAAGCAAACCAGTGATAAACAAGGGAAGGAAAAAACAGAGGTGGGGAAACAGACGGTGAGGGAGGTAAGAGCGACATAGGATGGGAATGGAGTACTCACTGTGTCAACTTTGTCCTCAGGGCCGAGACCGGAAAGCGGCATTCACGTCTACAGGGGATGTCCAAGTCAAGTCGATCGGTCTCCATCAGGGACGTCCATTCGGCCTCCGAGTGGGCAAAGTCGTCGAAGAAGGCGCTTGAAAAATCCACAAAATTGACAGTATAATAAAGAAGAAGAAGAAGAAGAAGAAGAAGAAGAAGAAGAAGAAGAAGAAGAAGAAGAAGAAGAAGGGATGGACAGACGAGTAATTGCGGATCTTAGGGACAAGGAAACAGCCTGAGCTGGAGGCTTAAACTTGGAATGGTGGTAACGGTGGGGTGAAGGACCCCGCTTAACTGTCAATAGACGGTGGGTCGTGTCATAGGGGTCTCATCTTGGCGTCCATTTGCAAGCCGTTGCAGACATTACACTGCCAACAACAATTGCTTTCCATGACCTTAAACCATTACTCGAACTCCGTCATTTTTGGAATTTGCTGCCTATCTATCTTTTTAATTGACGCGCTCATTTTCATTGGCATACGAAAGTGTGCGGTAAGATTCTCGACAAAATCTGTGTTTTCTTGCATTTCATCAGTCTACTGTTCTACGTGCTGCCTCACCCGTAAAACCCTCTCATTGCCACCATTCCTACATGATACGATCCGCAGTCTACCGACGATTCAGTGGGGTCCATTACCCTACCGTGACCGGATTATCAAAAGGGTGAGGCACAAGAATCCCACCATGACGGAAGCCGCACCCCCAAAATCCCAACTAATGCATTGCTTGTGAACCATGCGGAGGAGAATCAATGAGTTGCAAGGCCAAAGCACGACATCCCAACACAGGGAAGCCACCACGAAGAATATACTACAGAAGGCAGACACAAATTAATTACGGTTTATTAATAGTCACGGTGATAAGAAAAAAATACGCACTATCGTTGGTCTAAACTACCAACCTAACCCTTCTCCCGCCTAGAAGACAGGTATTCGCATCCGGACAACCAAATTATTTTGTAACTCTGGGAGCTTGTACATCTGAATGACGTGTCTGACGCCCGGGGGCTCTCATAGCTGAGCAAATTAGAGAAACTTTGAGTCGTGCGTGGGCTATACAGGTCGCATGAGTGAACTTTACAATCAGCAAAGGTCTTGTGCTCTGTCCGGCATGCAGGATATAGTCTCAGCCCTATCTCTCTCGTGTTAGATCAGCAGAATGGTCGCCCTTGTATACGAAATAAAGTCAGTTTATAAATGCAAACGCTGTTCTCTTACCAGAAGTTTCCCCATTGCATGACTATCAAAAGAAGATAGAATCTACTTTATCCTAATTTCGTGATGCCTGACGAGAGGAGTACGGACATATGATCGCGCATAGGTCTCCTTCTACTGTTCGCTGGCAAATTGGCTTCCATAAAAAATATACACAAAACTTGCGGAGCAACGCCATCGGCCTCCCCATTGTCAGCTTTCATAGAAGAAAAGTGTCGGCATATTTAGTCCCAAAAAGGCGAAGTCAATGCTTTGACTATCCTCTCCCAGTCCTGGGGGCCAGAGTCCCTGGGATCACTGCCAATCATCCAGACTCCCCAGGCGTCTGCTTTTGACTCAAGAAGAGACCCCCCCCCCTTTTAGATCGATATAAGACCCTAAAATGAGGACTGAAAGCAATGAAAATGAGTATAAGGAGATTGGGTCAAGGAGGGAATTACCGGATCGCCTCGGCCGCGACAGCCGACTGGATCACGTTTGTCAGCAGAGCCGACAGACAGGCCGTCTTATAAAGGTGGTGAAGATGCTTCAAACGCATCATCATTTCCCTTGGTCCGTAGATCCGTTCAACTGGATAGGTCTGCTGGAACTTGGGCCAAACTAGGAGTGTCAGGAGGGATGAAGGGGAAAAGCACACAGTTGTTAGTGGGACGAAAGGGGTGGTCTCAGTGAAAGCGACTTATAGGTGATAGTTCACTCATTGTAATCGACGATGGGCATCCTAAAGCTACTGAGCTGGTGAGTGGTGAAGGCAATTGGTAAATCCTGCCTTAAATGTATGGCAGACTATTGGGATGATTGGAGTGGCGTTGTTGCAGATGCTGTTGGTAAGCAAGAAGGTAGAGATGGTGTGTGTAGTCCGTAGCCTTTCATTACTATGGCGTGTCTACTTATTTCACCTACAGGGGCATGTTTTTTAGGTTTAGGTTAAAGTTCAGGGTTCGGGAAAGGGTCACGTTTAGCTGTCGCATACCGCCTCACCCAATCTGGCCATAATTAACCAATAACTACAGACTTTCTGCTTTCCGCCCTTTTACGCGCCCTTCATTCGCATCCTTTGAACTGCGCGGTCAGTTCCGGAACCTTTTTGGAGTAATAAAACAAATACATGGAAGGAATTCGAGTTTGCTGCGTATTCCGCTAGTTACCGCCTCCATTTGCCTCACACATGGAACCCTATTAACATCCCTTTCGCATTATGGGAGTCCCTGTGTTCCATTTTCGCAGTGAGGATAAACACGCTATCTTCGTCAGCGGGAAAGAGTAGCTAAGAGTGGGCTGTCTAATCAAGTGTTTGGCAGATGGGACAGGGGCATGTGGGAATGAAGCAGACGATGAAGGAAAGAAATTAATGGTTCAGAGCAGCGCGCGTGGGTCCACGCTTTGCAGCCGCTACACTGCACGTCCCCCCCCCCCCCGGATCACATGAAAACACACCTGCTGCGACGATAGGCAAGCCGACGCCATCTCCGCCAGTCGGGTTCTGTGATATGAGTTTGCATAGACTCGGCGGCGAGAAAACTTGTCTGATGCGTAAGTTTGGATGCGCGCAGCAGGTGGACACAACGCGCGATCATTGGGACACGGATACACGTAGCAATATGCAGAAAGATCAATTTCGGTCCGAAATTCGTCTACAGGGAGCCCTGGCGCAAAGCAGCCAGTGATGGTTTGCGATATCTTTCGTGGTGGTCCCAATGTTGCTGCTACTGCTGCTGCCGCTGCTGCCGCTGCTGCCGCCGCTGCTGCTGCTGCTGCTGCTGCTGCTGCTGCTGCTGCTGCTGCTGCTGCTGCTGCTGCTGCTGCTGCTGCTGCTGCTGCTGCTGCTGCTGCTGCTGCTGCTGCTGCTGCTGCTGCTGCTGTCATAGTTGGAAACGATGTGGCGCATGAGAAAGTGCCATACATATCCAAATCTGACCCAAACGGGGTGCTGGAAGTGAGGACACGTGGGAAAGGGTCTGTCTTAGTATTCCAGTTCTCGTCCTTAAAGTCTTTCTCTAACCACCTGAATTCGACCGCCTTCGGAGGATGTCGCGCTATACTTGCCGGGTCTGTACAATCGTTCAACAGGGCTTGTATAGATCCACAGACATTTGTGTGAGGTCTCCAAAGTGTCCTTTTAGAGTTGTTTTCTTTACTTCAAGATGGCGTCACCGTGGGGGGGAGGTTGCTTCAGCAAACGCTTATCAGAACGTGGCTGCCTCCTTCAAAGTTGGACTTGCCTCCCCGTTAAGAAGACATTAAGTCGGCCAAATTGGGAACCGGCCCTTTCAACTTCTTCCTTCCTATCCTCTAATGACGGTTTAGGCGAAGGTGGTTAAGATTCGGC